ACAGACTCCAAGCCCACTAGTAATTCTCAAGCTATAATTTACAGATTTTATATTCTCCTTGGCAAAGGTTGCTAGAAGCACTAACAAGTAGAAAATAGTCTTACCTGATTTTTTGCTTTCCTTTTACCTAGTAAGACCATAAACTGATAGTGAGAGTCAAGTTTAACCCAGTATCAATAAACATTTATAAAATAAAATCTACAAACCAAACAAGTAGTCCTCGATTGTTCCACAATTATTTTTCATTATTTTAAGCTTGCTACATTTAAATAGATCTTTACTTAGGCCATCATTTGCCATCCAGGAGTGAAATCGTTACTCATTTCCTGACGCTCGGGCAGTCTTGAATGCATTTGCAATGCAGTTCAGTGACAGATCATCGCGTCTTTTTCTAACCACAATGTGAACAGAGATACAATGGTCAGAGAACAACCGGGCCTCATAATCCTCTTATGGAAAAGATCCAATCCAGTTTTAGATGGATAAATGGGATTCACCATGTCTACTTCCATTTATTTTACAAAATTTGTTCTTTTCTTTCCGTATGAGAAGGAGTGGGAATGTAGCCCCTGGGTGGCTCAGTAGTGGGGTGCTGGTAAATGTTTGATAGTTGGATTTCTGGAAGATGGGATGATTTTACTTTTATTATTGACCAATTTCTGTGATGCAAATACTTCTACCAAAGTGAATTGCAAGCTAACACCTCAATTTGACGACAGGGAGAAAATGAGCTTAGGTGGTTCAAAACTTATGACAGTTCTACTCTGATGACTTTGTCGGAAGTAAGTTCCAATATAGGTTGACCATCTTTTATTTTTAACTTTTCATTATTATTTGTATCTTTATAAATCCAATCTTTGTCTTTTGGGGTTGGAAACATTACATAAAATTTATAGATATTATTAACTACATTAGTAATGTAGTCTATATTACTAATGATATGTTCAAGAAATCATCAGATGATTTGAAGTATGGTTCATCATAACTTAAGTATGTCATAAATTGGGGACAATATGTGCAATTAATTCTTACCAGCCAGTGAAAACCGACCCTCCCACACTCCTGGACCAAGCAGGATCTGCCTGGTGGGTGAGAATCAGAAAATGCTCTGTGGATGCACAGCTGTCTCCAGAAAAGAGTGCATATGACAAGCACTGAAATTGTGGACCTGTTCAAATATCTGACCCCATCCTGTCTTAGATCATCTTTCCATAATATCAGCTCTAACGTACAGGTCAAGCTCGTTAAAATCTTCACTTAATGGCATGATACAGCAATTACAAAAGCACTTTCCTTGTCGGGCGGAGAGGGAGAGGGTCCCGACAAATCATCACAGGTCCGGTAGGTGCAATTGCACAGCGATAATAAGTAAAGATTATAGTAAAGTCATAGAGAGCATGAGAGGTAGAGGTGAGATTGGAATAAATGGAGTCAGACACAATTCTTGGTAGCATCGCTCACCTCAGCCCCGCTTGATGGTCCACGTGGGGGGAGCCCGGCCACGAGAGCAGGAGATAGTCTCGGGGACCGAGAACCGGGGAGAGCCTCCTTCTTTATTTCTAACCAAGCATTATAGCTCTTTAGGGGGACATGATTATAGAATCACGTCACAGGAAGGGGCAGTACAATAGGCATACACATTGTAGGAAGGGGAACTATGATAGGCATAAGCGTAACAGAAAGGGGGATGAGCTAAGGGTGTGCCCATAGGAATGGGAAGGTCTAGGGGTATGCATGTGACAAGATGGGTGCACCCTAGATTCATGATGGCAGCCTAACCTTGGTCATCCTTGGGTGGGTTTGACCTCTCTGGTGTCTCCTATATGGAAACAGACTACTATCCTTATCAGAAGGGAGTAAGCCCTACTTGTTGTGGGATAAACAGTGGTGTCTGCTTGGTCTAGATGGCTGATAGCTCTTAAGGAGAATGACCCCTAATCTACTCCTGATGACCTCCAAGTGTATAGTCATTCTCAAGCAGCTAAGTCTGGCATATATTTGGGGGCGACAGCTTGAGAGAAATCCTTGTTTCCCACACCTCCTTGCGTTTATTGACAAAAACTGGTCTATTTTGTGCTCAAAGTTTTCAGTGTGCCTTAACCCGTGGAGACTCTCAGATATGCAGGTTGTAGCTTTAACTTGCTGCATGATCTCTCACAGTTGGTGATGGATTCTGTGTTGGTGAACAGAAACGTCTCAGTGGAGTCCTGCTTCAAGTGGTGCCCAGGGAACGTGTTATACCTGCTATACTGCAGACACACCTCTGTACACACCTCTACAAAATACTGCATTTCTATATTAGGGAAAAGAAATTGATTTACACAGTCAGTTTGTAGGTCTTTACCATTTTTCCTAGAATTGAGGGCTGACAGCATGGGTGACCTATCCATTAATAATCTAATAATTCTACCTATATAATTTGTTACATCTTCATAATTAATAAGCTTCAAAAATTGTCTTATATCCGAGATCAAAATGATTGAGAATCATTTTAAATCTAATCCGGTCTAATGTCATGACCCACAGAAAGTGCCTGCTCCTTGACGTTGCAGCCGATCAGTATAAGGCTCCCTAGGGGCGAGGATGGCGAGACTCACCCAAGAGGAAGATCCTGGACAATTGCACTGACACGGTGGCTGCAACAATGGCTCAGGCAGAGGAACGACTGTGAGGACAGTTCAGTGTTTTGTCCTGTTTTATACAGGGTCACTGTGGGTCAGAACCAACTGGACGGCACCTAACAACAGCATCGGCATAATCTACATGCTATTATCTTTTACAAAAGAAATAGTCTTTTTTAGGCAAAGTTTCTTTTTTCCCCCCTAGCAAAACATAAGATTTAATGGTTTACTGCACTAGCTAATAATTTATATAGAAAGAATAGCAGCAACAGATCTCATTTCTTCATATAATTTAATACATGCCCCAAACAGCATTGAACAAATGCGTAGTATTGAATGATTACTGTTAAAACTTACTTTTAAGATATTTTCAACACAGGCACTGGTGGAACCATAGCTGTTATCATGTGCAATGTGTCCTTTTGCACTCCAAAGGGAAATGAATATTCCCAGTAGCATTAGAAAAGGATGTACGTATTAATATTTCACGCAGATATAAAAACTCTCATCACATTACTCTAAAAATCTTACAGCTCTACTGTAAACCAATGAAGACATCTTTCAAATAGCGTTCACTTAGGCTCAGTACATAAAGCCTTCTAGAAAAATATTGCAAGCCCAATAAAAACACAATGAAATAATATAAAATCTTTTGTTTTTTAAAAATGAAGATTTAAAAGTCAAGTATTTATACAGATACACAGTACTTTTTAGTGCCCTGACAGGTATTTGCATTTAGAATGATCTGATCCAGAAATCAGAGCCCAACATTTGTCATTAATATTCTGCTTCAGAACAGGAAGATGTTGAGCACTGACAGAAAACATTTTTTTATCTGGTCTTGGTCAAAACATTACAAAGATGAATAATAAGCATTCAATAAACCTGCTAAGAAGGAATATACTTTTGCCTCCGATTCTTCTTTTTAACTTAGATAATTAATGGCATGTCCTTTGTCTGTATACGTAAAGCCTTTGCGAGGAGAGTACAGATATGATGATCTCGAACAAAATCCAAAATATTACTAAAGCCATTTTCCACTTTCAAAATGCATTTAAAGAAATGGTTATTTCGATGTAAAATCCCAGAGCTGACTGAGACCCATCAATAGCATAGCTAGCCAATTACTAACATGGCTTTTACCTAAGAGTAATACTATTACAGCCGATTGCTAAATTCCAAATTTATACATCCATTAACTTTCTTATATCTTTATAATTATATACTGTAGGATTATATTTTCCAATACAGATATTAAAAAAAGTGTGTGTGTATGTATTTTTCCCCTTAAAGAGTAGTAAAATATTTCAGCCACAAAACAAATTTAGTTTGGAGGGGAAAAAACAAACAAACAAAAAATCCAAAACTATGCCAAGATAGGAAATTCATTGTTTTAAATTTTAGAATTGTTATAAAAGAACTATAAAATTGCAAATTTCTGGCAAAAATACATTTCTAGGAGAAATACATGGAGCTTGTTAGATACAAGAAAATATAGCATTATCATAGAGTACAGCAAAGTATGGGCCTGGTTTTTAAGAGTTAAAAATTTCACAAAGAGTAATTAGCACCAAAAGGCTCTAAAACCTAAAATAATATACTAAAGGGATTCCCGGCCCGCGTTTTACCTTACAAAAAGTTACATTTCAACTTGGTTAGTTTCTCTAACAATAATAATAATATATATGTGTATATATCTATCTATATATATACACACACACACACTTTAATCTTTAGAAAACATGCTAGCTTTACTGATTTCCCATAGTTTTAAGGTAGTCTATGGTAATTATCATTTACATTGTTTTGGATTGAGCAGGGACAATGGAAATCCCAACATTTCCCCAATAATATAAAATTATTTGGTGGGGATATGAGTAAATGGAGAATAAAATTCTATATGTGACACCCCCTCCCTGGGGGATGGACAACAGAAAAGTGATAGTGTAAGATATGACAAGATAATAATTTATGAATTATGAAGGGTTCATGAGGGAGGGGGGAGAGGGAAAGGAGGGGGAAAATGAGGAGCTGATATTAAGGGCTCAAGTAGAAAGCAAATGTTTTGAGACTGATGATGGCAACAAATGTACAAACGTGCTTGACACATAGATGTATGTATGGATTTTGATAAAAATTGTATGAGCCCCCAATAGAATGATTTAAAAAAACTTATTTGTAGCTCCTTGTTTTCACCATTTTTTTTCTCCATCTAAGATGTTTTCCTGAAGATCTTTATAGGAATTATGTTTACTGATTAGAATCCCACATCCTGTTATTTGCCTTGCTTGATTTTTGGTGGCGGGATTTAAGATTTGGGGTGGGGAAAGGGCCTTAAAAGTGGGGACATAACCACAATAATGAAACCAGAGTTTTGAATTAGTTACAAATTGTATATTCAACCCAATAATAATCAAGAGTCAAGTTTAATTTTAGACAAAATCCATCACAAAATAGCACACAATTTCAAACAAGGCTAAAATTGTCAACTTTCATACAGGGAAATCTATAAATCCATCAATTACGTAAAATGGGTTTGAAATATCAGCAGTTCACTCCTCAGCCTGTTTTACTGTTGCACATAAATAATGACGAGGCAAAGAACTGCCACTAGTCCGAGCGCTTGCAGGCCCAGGAACCACAGCATAAGCCAGAAGAAGACGACTATTACTGGTTCCACGATGCGTTCTCCGAAGTATAATCTCGTGAAGCCCATGCTGAGAAGGCTTCTGTTCAGTCCACCAAACAGCGTCCCCATCTTTTTGTAGTCATCTCCAGCAGGCTCGCCACTGTGGGCTTGTGGTTCTTTACCATCCTTTGAAAAGAAAACACGACAAAATACACTATGAAAAATACACGAATGCCTTTAGGAAATTAGGGCTAGTTCATATTTTTTAACCTGCTCAAGTTCATTCAATAACCATATGCAAACTTTTGTGTGTGTGCCAACTTTATATGATGCGATTGACATGTTTAATGATCATTTGATTGACATTTCTCTCAACCGTGTCTGGGGCCACCTTCCCAGAACATGAGAAACACTGATTTCTGTGGAATCCATAGTGACTGGAATTTTAACTATCTGAATGCTAATTTACAAGATGAAGGGAAGTAGCTGATTCACTTCCGTACATTTTCTGATTTCCTGGAATGGCCTAGAGACAGCTGCTTAAATGAAGAGTGATAAGGTTTCTATTTTCTTGTTAGTACTGTGGTTAAGAGCTTAGCTGCTAACTGAAAGGATGGTGCTTCGAGCTCACTGGTTACTGCTCCACAGGACAAACATTTCTGTAAAGAGTGTTCCAAAGCCTTGGAAGCCCTATGGGGCAGTTCTTCGTGGTTTTGTAGGGTCATGAGGAGGAAGTTGGGATAGATGAAACACCAACAGCTTTTTGTTTTACCCGACCCCCACGTCCAACACACACTTCTTTTAATGGGGCAGATACCCGCATCACTTCCTTTTAAGTCCATTCCTCTGATATGGAGACTTGAAGAACAATAGCTTTTGCATGTGTGGCTGAGCAATCCTTAGATGCTATGGCTGTGATCGCCAACCCCTTTTCTTGTCATCGATACAGCAAATCCTTACTGAGTGTCTACTTTGTCTCTGATAGCCTTTTAATTTGCTGTGGCTAGCTCACTAACAATAAATAATAAGTATACTGCAAAAGAAAAAAATATATATATATACTGCAAAAAACAAAAAAACCCAGCTCTCAATGCTCAGAATTTGTTACTATAGAAACCCTCTGTACCTCTCTTCATGTACAGTTTAATTATGAATTTCAGAACCTGTCTGGAGCTAGTGAAGTAGTGGATCTAGGTGAAATGCAGACATCATTATAGACCACTGCAGTTTTCTGTTCAAATTCTACTTCAAGGCTTCTTATAAGGAGAAACATAATTTTAAAATAAGGATTATTTTATACACGTAGTCCAATAGTCCACTTAGAAGCCAGTATCTCAGAAAATGTACATTTGTGCCCAGTTGTCCTTAGCCAAGAATATTTCCTTTTTCTATTACCTTCCCTTCGTATTTAAGGCCATCATGCCAGTTATTAAGCTGTTACTGTCTCTGAACTTCAAACATACCCTCGAGAACATTTCTGGTTTCCTGTTTAGTAGACGATACCACAGAGGCAATACATGGGTGGGCAAAGAAGGAAATTTTTCTTATTTGCTTCCGTGGGCTTCTTGATCCTGTTAGTTTTACCTTCTGGCAGCAAGAGGACCTTTCAGGAGCAAGACCTGATTCAATGGGGGTTACTGGACACTTGCAGAGCCAATTCATTGGGTTTCCTTGAGAAATCAGCTCCAAACCCAGGAGCTCCTGCTCTCGGCCTGTGCGGTCTGTGCCGTGAGCTCAGGCACACCTGCGCCAGGCAGACCTCATTCTCAGAAGTCTCAGTTTCAGTTTCAAGCAGTCACTTTCCTATCGTCTCAGTTTTAGAAATTCCACCTATTTTCTTTGCTAGCCCAGAGATGGTATGATGGCTGCTCTGGCTGTTGCTATTTCTATGATACTTTAGTGCAGTCATTTAAAAAATGTAATCTATATCAGAATTAATAAGAGGTCCTGTTAAAAAGATTGTTTGAAATGTGCTGTACCCAATTGATGTATGTATGGATTGTGATAAGAGTTGTATGAGCCCCCAATAAAATGATTTAAAAAAAAAGATTGCTTGGCCTCACCAACCTGGGTTTCTGATGAAATTACTCTAGAGTGGGACTTGAAGTCTAAAATTTTTCATTTCTAACAAGCCCACCACTTCCCCTGCAAACCAAACCTGTGGTCACCAAGTCATTCCCAACTCAAGGTGGCCCCATGGGTTATAGCCCAGAACTGTCATCTTTCTAGAAGCACATTGGCTAGGGTCTTAAAAAGTTACAGGAAAAATGGAATTTAAAGATTATGAAAATGTCCTACAAAAGTTTTGAACCCCCTCATACATCGTTGGTGATCGTCTCCTACATGATGGGTGGTCTATCTTTAGGTGAGCAGTGGAGAGGAAGCCACCCAAGGCCCCAACAAATTTTCAGGTGATGGTAATGATACTTGTTTGGTGACCATCCTCTGAAAATTACGACCTTAGTGGTTGGTTTGTGTGTTTTTTTTAACCATTTCCTGCTCCTCAACAACTAATGAACAATCCTTTGTATGAAACTGAAAATTTTTTTCATATTTGTTATTGACACAATTTACATATCATCCGAGTCAATGTTTTAAACATACTAAGTAGTTGTGCAATGATGTATTAAACTTTGTTAAAATAAATGGCATAGTCTTCTCTCCTCACTCTGAATTTCATAGCTACAAAAGAAAACCTATGTCATATAAGTAACATGCTTTGTAATTATACTTTATCAAATCTAGGTTCTTTTAGAAGCCATCATTTAAATCAGTATTCATTTATTCAACCCTTATTTGCTTATAGCTGGTATAAGATGGATAGTCATATGTTAAAAAAAAATAGATTGAAGTCAAGGCCAATGGAAAACAAAGCTACTTCACTCAGAACATCAGGATTTAAGGAGAATGGATACATGGAATGGTCTAAGTTAAGACAAATAATAATAATAATAATAATAATAATAATAATAATAATATACTGAGGGTTCAGAAGAGGAGCTGATGTAAAGGATTTCAAGAAGAAAAGAAAATATTGAAAATTAGAAAGACAGCAATTGTCCTCTTATGCTTGATCTACGGGAACTACGGATTGTAATAATATTTGTAAGAGCTCCTTGATGTATGGATTGTTACAAGAGCTGTAAAAGCCCCCAATAAAATGATTTAAAAAACCGAACCCCAAAACATGCCCCAAAGAGCTTGGTGAAGTTTTCGGACATGCTTAGAAAACATGGGTTCACTTAAATTCCTTTAGTAGAAACCCAAGGTTGATGATTTCCATTATCAGTCATAAGTAATTATTATTATTTTATGTCTTTTAAACATGAGAGCTATGGAAAGCTTTATTTCCTATCCTACACATACAATTTAAAATAAGTGATAATGAGAAGGATGAATAAGCAAAACCTAAGTTTTGTAATTTTGCAAAGTATATTACAATCAGATAAGATACATTTTAACATGACTTCAAAAGGTGATCTTTCTCCACATGGTATCACATAGTGCCACAGGAAGTTGATAAAATAGTGCAAAACTGAAGTTCAATAATGGAGCAATGCTGTTGTGTATATTGTATGTTTAAGCCAGAATTATTTTTCAGTTATCATTCCGGCCATCACGTCAACGCTGACGCATAGTGACCCTCTAGGACAGAGTAGAATGACCCTGTGCGTTCCAGAGATGCTAGTCTTCACAGAAATAGAAAGCCTCATCTTTCTCCTACTTCTATAGTTATATTTATACATAAATATAATTTTGGATTGCTTTATAAACTTTCATTTCTATTAAAACACAAGATAAAGAAAATGCTGTAGAAATACCTCAAACCCAACATTAACTAGGTAAGTGACCTTAGTCAAATTACTTCACTTTTCTAAGACTTAATCCATGAAGTATACTTATATATCTCATTTTGATACTGATCATTTTCATTCAAATATATTAATCAGTCCTTTCTTGATAATTTGATTTCTAAATGATTTTTTCCCTTTACTGATGTGCTGTGATGGGTCAATTCCATGTTTCTCAGTTTCCCATACTTCTCATGATAATATGCTAAGTTAAACACACACACACACACACACACACACACACACACACACACACACACACACTTAACTTGTTCTTGCCCAGTATTTTTCTTTTCCTGGGAAAGAACTAGAGTTGGTGATTTCATTGAGTGTTCTTCTGGTCCCTCATCCTTCCTCACTCCTCTGTCTAGCTGGTATTGCTGAGATTGCTCCTAACATCTTTTTCAAAACTTTTATGTCTTTCTCTTTTCCCCCTCACGGTTCTAAATCTCTTTTAATCTGTGCACATTTTGTACTGTGGGGCTTTTGTTGTTGCTGGTGAAGTTTTTTTTTTTCCTCCTTCCAGGCTTGTGGGTTTAGTTGAAAAGAACCTGAAGCAGGCATGGCCCTCTTCTGAAGATTTGCTTTAAATTCTGAATAAGATGATCTAAATCGACAAACTGCTGTGAGTTTTTCAAGGGGAGAAGTAGGGTTTATAACACACAAATCTAAATAGGGAATTAGTTAACTCCTAGAGGCAGCAATGATCACATCATCTCTGATTTTAGATTGCAGTAGGATTGAGAATGCTAGTGGGGGACCCTGTGAAGATAAGTTGGAAGAAGCCGTGACGGCTGAAACTTACTGCTGCAGCTTCTCTGAATTACAAAAAACGTCATGTATAAACAAAATGGGAGAGAATAGTGTAATGAACCCCCATGGGCTCATCAACCAGACTGAATAGTTATGAAGATTTTACCACACTTATTACAATTTATTAACATAGGAAATCTAAAGGAGGGGAACAGAGTTAAAAAAAAATCCTAAAAGTGACATATCTTCCCAGGAGAAGTTTCACAGAAACAGTAAAGATATGTAGGAAAGGATGTAATGCAAACACTGCCATGAGTCGATGCTGACTCATAGCAAGCCAAAGACAGATGAGAACTGCCCCTGTGGGTTTTGGAGACGTAACTTTTTTTTTTCCAGAAAGCCAGTCCTTTAATTTCAAAAAAACTGTGCCACACATTTCTACCGAGTGCTGATGGTCACCTGCCATACTCGCACGAGGTTATCTGTGTGACCTGCAAACAGAGTCTCGCCTTCAGCAGACCAGGCCAGAGAGGTGCACTGGGGTGGCTCGGCCTTGCTGCTGGTGCTGATAACTTCTTGCTTCAGCTCATCCACAATGATCTTGCCTTCCAAGTCTCAGATCTTGATGCTGGGGCCTGTGGCAGCACAGAGGCAGTAGCGGTTGGGACTGAAGCACAGGGCGTTGATGATGTCTCCTCCATCAAGGGTATAAAGGTGCTTGCCTTCATTGAGGTCCCACAGCATGGCTTGGCCATTCTTGCCTCCAGAAGCACAGAGGGATCTATCTGGAGAGACCGTCACAGTGTTCAGGCAGCCTGTGTGGCCGATGTGGTTGGTTTTCAGCTTGCAATTAGCCAAGTTTCACACCTTGACCAACTTGTCCCAGCCACAGGAGACGATGATGGGGTTGCTGCTGTTGGGCGAAAGCGCACACAGGACACCCATTCAGAGAGGCTCTCGTCCTGGACGGTGTACTTGCAAACTCCCAGAGTATTCCACAGCTTGATGGTTTTATCTCGGGAGCCAGAGACAATCTGCCGGTTGTCAGAGGAGAAGGCCACACTCAGCACATCCTTGGTCTGGCCTACACAGCGGCGTGTGGTGGTGTCAGCTGTCAGATCCCAGAGACGTAGTGCTCCATCTCAGGAGCCCGAGAGCACAAACTGGCCAGCAGAAGAGGTACCACGTCACTCACAGTGAGAGTGACCATGCAGAGCAC